CAAGGAGGGAGGGCTGAGGACACAAGGACACTGGTGTGTGTGTGTGTGTGTGTGTGTGTGTGTGTGTGTGTGTGTAAAAGAAGGCGTGGAACGAGCGTAGAAAAGCTGTTGCAGCTGCCTTTGTGCATTTTTCTACATCTTGATTTGATTCAGTTTTAACTTCCCTCCCCCCTCTTTTTTGTCTCTATTTTGAAGCCACCACACTAGTTCCAGCGGTTCTTATAAGCATAAATTTATTGATGTGCGCATTCACAAAAAACGGCGAGAGGACAGGTATTGATATGAGGGTATGAACCATAACTTCTTTATTTAGCAAGTCAACACTAGGTGTCAAAATGATTAATTTGAAGGCTGGCTTCTCTGTAGAGCCGTGAGCTGTGGTGCAAAGATAGAGAGCAAAATGCTGACTGCTCCTTCTGTCATAGTTTTACATGCTGTACATCTAGAACAGACCGGAGCAGGGTGGGTACTGAGTGTGCTGCAGGACGGAGACCATGCTGAGATAAGCTCTCATCATCCCTCCAGAGGCCTCTCTCCTGCTCTGTGTGTTGTTTTTCTTTCCAGCTAAACTTTTTGTTCTTTGAAAACCTATTTTAACTGCTCTTTTCTCAGCTATACAATGTGAGGTTATGGCTGATTACAGCCTAAGTTTGATTCAATTTGTTTGTGGATGACAAACCACCCTAATTGACAATTGACTTTTTTTTTTCTGTTTCCTTCTCGCACTTCTTTATCTGCGTTGGCCAGAAACAGCTGACTCTGCCAAGGTTGTAGTGGAACTTTAACATGTCGAATTGACCTCTAAAAGAAGCCCCAAGGCTTCTCTTAATGGCTCTATTCATCAAGGGCACAGACCTCTTTGAATGAACACAAAAGACAAGGTTGGTTGATCGGAGCCATTGTTGCTGTATAAAAGTATAAAAACGAAATGTAATAGTTGAGAGCAAATAGAATCTGAACATTTCAAAGAGAGACTTTTTTTTTCAAGGTTTCAGGTTGTGACCACAGATTTTTGAGGTTTGTTCCTCTTCCATCACAGCTGAAGAGAATGAATTTAATGGGAAAGCTGTTATACGCCACTGGAGCGTAAGCCTCTTACCAGCTGTTTGTGTGAGTGTGCATGAGCATGTGTGTGAACATGCATCTGCGTGGCCCAGAAACATTTGCATGTTGTACCATCAAACCTCTGAATGCACGCTCCTTCTGAACCAGCTATTTGGGGAAAGAACAACAAGAACAAATTAACACCTGCTTTTCACATAGAAATGATGACATGTCTCAATTCTCTTTACTTCTCTTTTCTTTTTTCTCCTCTTCTCTTTTTAGCAGAGGTGGTAGCATCGTCAATTGTGATTGATCAGCATGTGTTTCCAACACTTTAGTCCAAAATCTATGAGAATGATTCTTATTTTTCATAATTTAATTAGTTTTGTTTTGTATTTGGAGCCTGTGTGAAGAGCAGATGATCATATGTGTCACATTGGGAAACATCTTGTTAAAATGTGATTTGTTAGCAAAGCTCTAAAATTAGAGTACATATATATAAAGTATGTAAGAACGTTATCGGC